TTGTTGCACAGGTTTTAAATGTAATAATATAATGTTTTCCAGACCGAATTTTGGTTAGAACTTTCTCAATGGAGATCAGTCACCTGCACTGGACTGGATTCGTTTTACCTCACTCTCATATCCTGATAGGACGGCAACTCGACACGACCGAAGAGAGATAAGGCGCAGGACCAACGGTGTTACTTCATTTCTATGCACGAGAAAAAATTATTTACAGATAAACCAAAATACTGATTTTTGGCCTAACCACTAGATTAACGAGGCAATTAAAAATATGTATACAATAGGTAATATATTTAGCACGTTATGCTATTATAAGTATAATTACGTTGACGACCTTTAAATAAGTTATAGCATATTTAATGTTAATATTCACGACTCGATAGTACAGGCGCTTAGTGTTTAGTTGAGTCCCATTGGATCACTGGTTCGATTTCTGTGCAAAACAATATATAGAGCCTACAAATATGTATAACAATATATATATTACCTTGTCTCGATTTTTCACGCAATTTATATTTATAAAACGTCTACAAAACACAAGAGAAATTGCTAGAATGAGGAAAATTTATAATCGATATATAAAATAAAATGTTGTATTCACAGACCAACAAGAAAACACAGACAGAACACATTCATGTGACGTCAAACCAAAACCATGCACGCACACATAAGTATGTATCTGACATTAATAGCAATAATTAATATATATATTAAAGAAGGAGGATGCGTGCGTGAGTGTGCATTCTTACATTAGTTAAACATGGCTCTCGGCTTCAATTGAAATGTACATAGTATTCTGTCTTTATTTCTTTGATGGTTGAGCCATCTAGTATAATAAAGATAGTAGATAGCATAAAAAACAGCAGTAATAAACTGGTTTTCGTTAAGAATGAATATTAATTGTATTTAATAATACTTTCTTACAGGCTAAGTTATTCTGCGCTCAATTTCCATATTTACACTATTACGTACATTAATTAAAGTATCACGTATGCTTAAATATAATGCGAATAAAACTTCCGTATAAAATCTTAACAACTTTCGTATACATTTGGTACGAGTTTCATTTAATATTTGGTTCCATTCACACTTGAAAAATAAGAAATCGCTTGCAAAAGAAAGATAGAAGCAGCGCTGCGTTCATTCCAGGTGGCACATATTATCTTTTTTAATTTATTTGTATTGCCAACATAAGAATAGGCAATGGATTTTTTTTAATAGAATAACTGTGACAAGTAATACTGCAATGTATGGCTACATTGCAGTATTACTAATTTAACATAATTAACTGCTCTCATAACTATAGGCAATCACAGCATTAGCTGTGTTACAAAAAGTTAAAAAAAATTAAAAAAACATGTATCTTTCTTTCTTTATTGGAACCTAAATGTCCACTGTCGGTTGCAAATGATATTAGAATCATAATTATATTATATGTGTGGGTGAGCATTACTTAGTGCTATAACGGTCTTTCTTTGTTTGACAGAGCCTACAAAATCATACATATTGTATCTACCACCTACCACAGGCGAATTTTTTAAAATATAATATATAGAGTATTTATAATAGAAGATATAGATATATAACGGCAATAAATCCGATAACTTAGTATTTTTCTAAATCGTTAAGTACACAACAAGACGGTATCACGTATTTCGTTTAGGTCAGAAGTAGACCGTGAGGTTCATGTTCTCGGCGACCGCCGCGTTGGTCGCCTCGTTCACTTCACCCCTCTCAGCACTGCCCTGCAAAATATTCAAGTTTAAAGAAGCACTGGGCGAGAGATGTTTTTAATATTAGATCAACTATCCAAAACTTTTTGCTGTAATCGCTGTTGTTTAAATGTATATGTGTATACGTTTACTTCTTGTAATATTTTTATGTTCTCTGTAGCCGCGTTCGTAGTGTTATTACTGCTCTAAGGTTGTCGGGCTGAAAAAGATTTTAGCATTTTTGGATTTTATCATTAAATCCGCCTTTTAATCCTATACTGTTCTTTAAGGTTCAATATTAAAGATTAAATAAATAAATACAAATAAATAAATAAAAGAAAATAAAAACGACAGTAGCCTAATGGCATGGTGCGGACCGCGAACAAAGGTAGTGGGTTCGAATCCGTCATTCGGCTACTGGCGTTAAAAACTCGTAACACAAGCAATTTAAGCGTACTACAAGTGGTTAAGGGGAATATTAGTAATGTTTATAGCATTGTTAATATTCTTTAAAAAAATTAAAAAAAATGCCGTGCCGTGTAGTGGCGGTTGAGAATATCAACTACCCCATATCTTCCCGTGGGTGTCGTAAGAAGCGACAGAGGGAGACAGGCAGGAGATGGGCAGCAGCATCTTCCTGATAACAACAATTACACAATAAAAACACTGCGGTTGCCAATCCGCTTGCCAAGCGTGGCAACAATTTCAAACATGATAAGACACAAACAAACGGCCCCCAGCCCCCGGCTGCCCCGCTATTCCTGGCTACGGTGGCTACCATGGTAACGGCGGGGCAGGGGTTGCTAAGAATCTCCGGTGGAGGTTGGTTGACAAGTACGACGACTCGACCTGGCAACACATAACACAGGCACCCTGAGGACTGACGAGAAGATCATGGAGCTGGAAGAAGAGCTAGACAAGTTGCGTTGGCATATTATAGTATTATCCGGGGTCCGAAGAGAGGGGGAGGACACGATAATCCTCGAATCCGGCAACTTGTTCTATCACCGGGAGGGCAACCATCTGTCCCAAAGAGATGTCGGATTTAACGTCCACAAGTCTCTCGTCAACAATGTTGTAAAGATTGGCAGTGTGTCGACGAGGGTTGCGTACCTAATACTCATAATCATCAAACGGTATACACTGAAGGTCATACAGATTTACGCCCTAACCTTACAGACGGCAAGTCCCCGGGTGAGGACGGAATTACAGCGGAGCTTCTGAAAGCGTGTGGAAAACCGGTACTTAAAGTCCTTCAGAAGTTCTTTAATTTCGTCCTCCATAGTGGCACTACTCCCGAGCCGTGGAGCAGAGGTGAGATGGTATTGTTCTTCAAGAAAGGTGACAACGCCCTCTTGAAGAACTACAGACCGATATCCCTTCTGAACCACCTCGACGTGCTGTTTTCGAGAGTCATTACGAATCGTCTCGCACGCAGACTCGACGACTTCCAGCCTCCCGAACAAGCCGGTTTCCGAAAAGGCTTTAGCACCATAGACCAAATACATACCTTTCAGAAAATTGTACAGAAGACCGAAGCGAACAATCTGCCACTTTGCCCGGCGTATATGGACTATTAGCAAGCCGTTGATTCCGTCGAAATTTGGTCGGTGCTACAATCCCTTCAGCGATGCCAAGCGGACTGTCGGTATATCGAAGTGCTGAAGTGTTTGTACAGTAGGGCTACGATGGCTATCCGAGTACAGAACCAGAGTACGAAACCTATCCAACTGCAGAGAGGTGTAAGACAGGTTGACGTTATATCACCGAAACTCTTCACCGCTGCATTGGAAGACGTATTCAAGCTACTGGACTGGAAAGGATACGGTATCAACATCAATGGCGAGTACATCACTTACCTTCGATTTGCCGACGATATAGTTCTTATGGCAGAATTGCTGGAGGACCTAAGCACTATGCTCAATGACCTCAATGGTGTCTCCAAAGGGATAGCCTTATGATGAACATGGACAAAAGGAAGATCATGCGTAACGTCCATATCACACCTATGCCGGTAGTTGTTGGGAGATCTAAGCCCGAAGTTGTTGACGAGTATGTTTACCTGGGACAAATAGTCCGACTAGGTAAGTCCAACTTCGGCCAAGAGGTCAATCGACGGATTCAACTCGGCTGGGCAGCGTTCGGGAAATTACGGCACATCTTGTTGTCAGATATACCTCAAACCCCGAAAACGAGACTGTACAACCAGTGCGTGTTGCCAGTGATGATTTACGGAACTGAAACGTGGTCCTTCACTGCTGGCCGTATGAGGACGCTCAAGGTCGCTCAAGGTCGCTCAATGATCTATGGAGAGGGCTATGCTCGGGGTATCTCTGCATGATAAACTTAGAAATGAGGATATCCGCAGTAGAACCAGAGGGATAGCCCAACGGATTAGTAAGCTGAAGTGGCAATGGGCCGGCATATAGCCCGAAGAACCGACAATCGTTGAGGAAAACAAATTCTCGAGTGGCAGCCTCGTACTAGTAGGCGTACTGTAGGGCCCCCCACTAGATGGAATGACGATTCCCCACTAGATGGATTGACGACCTGGTAAGACATGCAGGAAGTCGATGGATTCCTTGGGGGAGGCCTATGTTCAGCAGTGGATTTGTGAAGGGCTATAATGATGACGAATGATGAAATAAATAATCATTATTGTTATCATTATCACCTGCCCGTAAGAGTTCACCGTTGGAAATGGGTCTTTTCTTTTGTAAAGATAATTTGCTTTAAACGTCACTCTTGCCAGGCAGATTGGCGCTCGCAGTACCTGAAGTCACGCCCTCTTGACGCTATTTTGCGTCTGGCGTTGACGTGATCGTACGTGGTGCCTCTCACTACACCTACGGACAAATTGTGAGTATGGACCCTTTTATAACTCCGACACGCGCCTAGCTTGCTGTAAACTAGGCCCTTGTGGTGGAGCAGTTGTCACGCCTCAAGCAAAACGCACTGAAGTCGATATCAAAGTTTTGAAATACTGCGTTATATATAGATTAACTCTGAACTACCATACAGAGCAATAGACGCTCCCCGGGTTATGTTGTCGCTGGGTGTACTTGTATAGCGGAGTGTAGCGGTGTGTTGGTGCAGTGGTGCGGTACCTGTGCGTCGTCCCAGCTGAGCTTTTTGACGCGCGCGGGAATGGTGGCGCTGGGCCAGGCCACGCCGGAGCGTCCGGCGCCTCGCGCGTGCAGGTGGTCGCTCATTAGCGCCGTGCCGTTTGTCAGTACGGGTGGCGCGGGCGCCACTTTGCTTTTGGCGGGGAATCGTTGAGATTGCCTATTCGCTGGCACACCTACAACAATTGTGTCTTTATTTAGGTAGGTTTTGTAGATGCCGTGTTGTGGCGACGTAAGGGAATCCATTATTTAATCGAATGGGTGTATCGACAGATGATACTTAGTTAGAAGGACAGCAACATGTAACTTTTTTTATAGGATAGTGTGACAAACGAGCACGCAGTCCACTTGATGGTAAGTGGTTGCTGTGGCCCATAGACATCTACATCTATCCTCGATTACAAATCAAAATGCAGATACCCGTGAGGCCTAAGATGGAATGCCTCGTTTCCAGTAAAAAGGGTCTCCGGTTCTCTACACTCACCATACGAAACACAGCAGCATTAAGCTAGTATTTCACGGTGGTATTCTGTGAGAGCGTGATGTTTCCCCGGTCGAGGCGACAAATTCGTACTACAACTATACTATTAATATAACTGCAGCAGGGCTCTACCACTTATAAACCTACCTGATAAGAATGTAATAATTATTCAAAAAAAAAATCCGCCTGCCAAACGTTTGAACTATGGCAAATCCCCCCCCCCTATGCGGTCAGTCTATGGCCTATGTACAACAGTGGAATTTTGATTATCTGTAATGATAATGGTTTGAATCATCATATGCAATGTCTTTTTTTTTAATAAAAGAGAAGGCAAACGAACAAGCGGTTCACCTATTGGTATGTGTTGACCGCCGCCCAAGAACAACTGAAAAACCAGGAGAATTGCAAGCTGCATTTCCAACCTTTTAAATAGGAGTAAATTCGTTGTTTGAAGGTCCTTAAGTTATATCGGTCTGGAAAAATCGCCGGTGGTAAACGAAGTCATGCGAGGAAGAAAACTTCTAGTAAATCGCAGTGGTGCGCCGCAAAGCATCCCGATGATGTGGGTGGTATAGTGAGTTTTGCTGCTGTGTACGTTGGTAGGATGTGATAGTTTGAATGAATCCGTACAATTCCTCAGCACTGCCCATGGCAAATGCGATAGAAAATGCAAGGGAATTCAGTTCGGAATTCTCTTCGCAGCACCACTGAATTGAGCTTTTTTTTTTTATAGAATAGGGTGACAAACGAGCACACAGTCCACCTGATGGTAAGTGGTTGCTGCGGCCTATAGACATGTACATCTATCCTCCATTAAAAATCAAAATGCAGATGCGTTGTCACCCGTGAGGACTGAGATGGAATGCCTCGTTTCCAGTAAAAAGGGTCTCCGGTTCTCTACACTCACCATACGAAATACAGCAGCATTAAGCTACTATTTCACGCTGGTATTCTGTGAGAGCGTGGTCCTTCCCCGGTCGGGCCGACCCATTCGTGCTACAACTATACTACTAATATAAGTCTAATATTAGTAGTATAGTTGTATACTAATATAAGTGTAAAATTGCAAGCGGTGTGCCGGCATGAAACACTGGGTGCACTAAAGCTGTTTTCCATGAGTTCGGGGCTACGACCAGGGAGGAGGAGTACCGAAAAAATCGGATTAAAACCGGTGCCAACTCCGTAGCACACGTTCTCAACACAATAAGAGGGTCTCTAATAGGCCCACTCGACTTGTTGACGTCCAGGGAGAGGGGTGGTTTGGCAACAAGCGCTGTGTAAACCGCACATCCGGCACAGAGTACATACGAGAGTCGAGTTGGACGAAAAATAGAGTCTAATCCCCCCTGTTCAGAGATTGAAGAGATGGCTGAAAGAGTTCCCTTGGACAGCATGGTGAGTGACCAGTATTCACGGGTTCCCGAAGAAAAGGAAACTAGTTTCTCGTCAATTCTGCTGTTATGCTCTGACTTTGCCACGACACAACTGATTAATTTGCTTGCGAAGTGGAGAAAAATGCATCTTCTCTATTGAACCTTCTGCTGACCTCTCATCCGGACGAATATGAGGTATTTTGTGAGGTCATGTTACGTCTCCGGTGCAAGCCGAGCCACGTGGCTCTGCTATAGTGTTACAGCAAGTATTGAATTCTACATCATAACAATATTTTTGTTTCTTCAATTTTATATATTTTCAATAATAAGGTTTAAAATAACAATAAAGATAATAAGAAGATGATTTATTTTGTCTCATTAATACTTATATATTAATATAATGTAACATCACACAAGAGAAATATCTCAAGCAAGACATTTCAGCTCAAGAAAACGAGACATGAGGCCTCACTAACATCTCAGAAAAAATTTGAATAAGTAAATACCTTTATTATTTATTTTAAATCATTAAATAATAAAAATATAACTATATTAACTTTGGTCTCTCAATATATTTCCGAAAATTTAATGAATGTTCACAAAAACAAAAGTAGTTTTAGTGAAAAAAGTAATATGAACTCTGTAAACTAGTGATGAGCAAAGTAAGACCAAGACCCGGACCAAGAATTAGTGACCAAGACTAATAGCAAACCAAGATCAAGACTGTCTTGGTATCGTTCTCGGTTTTTGTTTTGCTCAAATACTTGTTGTCTTGTTCTTGGTCTTGAATTTGGTCTAACTCACTACTTACGTGGTTTTAAAAAAAATCAAGACTTCTGTAAGTAAAATTATAAATGATCAACAATTAATATATGTATATAAAATTTTATTTTACAATAATCAAAACATGTACAGACAGAGTACTCAAAAAACGAAAAAAATTACCTTAGCTCTATGTCAGCCATATGTTAACCAGACATCGTAAAATAATAGTTTGAGAATTTTCTTGTAGATCCTTTTCTTCAGGCAATGGGAGAATTTACTAGTTACCTTTTTATATTTTGTGTGTTTAATTAGTGGGATAAATATTAAACACTTAAAATGTTTTGCTCCGAAAAATGACAAATATTCTCATATTATGTCCTATTTACAATGGAAGTTACAATTTTTAGTCTTTCTTTTTCTCGGTCTTGTTCTTGTTCTTTCGGTCTTGGTGTTGGTCTTGCTAGTGTATCTATGATCTTGGTCATGGTCTGGGTTGATATTGCAAGACCAAGACTGCAAGACTGAGACCGATTTTACTCATCACTACTGTAAACACTAAGAACAAACACAAGCAAGTAATAACAGTTTCTCCACTCCACAGAGTCAGTTATTATTCATGGGGCAATGAACATGTTATTACTAAGTCCCAGAAAATATACATATAAGGTCTCTCTGTGAACATTTCACTATATAAATGGAATTTTTATAATATAAATTAATTAATATAAATAGTTGATACTACTGCTTTCAAACTGTTTCTTATAATACATAAGTTTTGTTAGTAATTTGTACAACTTGTAATTATTAGATGATTTTATTTAGGAAAAAAAATTCCGCTCGTTTTGTTGGTGGTTATTTCCAGGACAAATGTATTTTCGAACCAGGAGTAAAAGTAAAAAATGACTCAATAAGAATTACTTGTAATTTATATTGAATAAAATTATTCTATTCTGGTCTATTCTACATGACTGTTGATAAAAGTAAACTGAAATTATATGAAATAAACGGAAGTTCGCTAGAATTGTATAACTACCGCGTATGTATAATTGAACGCCTTATGGACGTTGAGACAGTTATTTTTTTTCTTTTTGTGATCTTGCAGTTTAGTAGAAAATGAAAAAAAGTAAAGTTTTCCGGGCGTTTTAATGCTATTACAATGCGGTAAAGCCTCGCTAAGCTATATTAATGGTTGTAGTATGAATGTGTCGGCTCGACCGGGGCAGGACCACGCTCTCACAGAATACCAGCGTAAAATAGCAGCTTAATACTGCAGTGTTTCGTATTGTGAGGAGTAGACCTTCTTAACAGAACCGGAGACTATTTTTACTACAAACGAGGCATTCCATCTTAGTACTCAGGGGTGATAAAACATCTGCGTTTTCATTCTTAATCGAGGATAATATACGCAGATGTCTATAAGCTTCAGCATTCATATAGCACCAGGTGGAGTGCGTGCTTGTTTGTCACCCTTCTTCTATAAAAAAATGTCAGCAAGGTACTCACCACTGTCTGCGGGGTCCAGGCTGGCGGTGGAGCCGGCCAGGATGGTGCTGGCGCCCGCCGACACGCTTAGCGGAGAGTCCGCGCGCCCCCCCTCCCTCGCCGCTCCCTACTGCCTCCCCCGCACTTACAGCATTTCTCGTTCCTCCTGTACTACCCACACTTCCTACACCCACTGCACTAGGGGGCTTCTCCGGAGGCAGAGTGAGAGCAGAAGCGCTGCCGTTTTTACTTCGTCGTCTTCGCCTGTATTTTGAAAATTAGTTTAAGTTGAGAATGATGCTCTGAGGTAGCAGCGTAATGTATTTGCCATTATCTCATTTAATCCCGTGGGTGTAGTAAAAGCGACCATGAGAAAGGTTAGAAAAATCTTATCAAGCCTCGACTCGACCAAGGTTAAATGGCGCTGTACTGTTTTTTTATTTTTATAGAATAAGGGTAACAACCGAGCACACAGTCCACCTGATGGTAAGTGGATGCTGTAGACCAAAGAAATCTCCATTTATCCTCGATTAAGAGTCAAGATGCATATGCGTTGTCACTTCTAAGGATTAAGATGGAATGCATCATTCAGACTCTGAGTTTGTAATCTGCTATTTGACACTGGTATTCTGTGAAAACGTGGTCCTACTCCGGTTGAGCTGACTCGATCAAGTTAATATAATAACTTTTACACTAAACCTAAATTAACGGATATCAGAAAATAACGAGAAACAGAAGTGAAGTTAGATCTCAAACCCCCAACTCATTCAATTCTTATAAAATGAGGAACTTCGTCGGGAAATCGTTTGAATTACATTACGTCTGTCACCAATGTATTCACCAGCCGAAGAATCCACATCCTTATTCTCACTGGTTTTATGATTTCCAAATGCTTCGAGAGGGCGCACGCATCCAGTGGACCCTCCACTTCCCCATCGGTTGTTAATCTTTTGAGCTTATCCGTTAGGTTATATCATTAACTATGGCTGGTTTTTTTATTACGAATTTCATCACGCACAAAATTTCCATTTAGAATTTTGTCAATTCTACTTCTATAGAGCACAGTCGTGAGTCACCTCTATCCATTAATTTTATGCATCTTTACCGGGTCACATTTTTTCTCTCCGTTTAGTAGGGCCCTAGACTTCTTTAACTGATATGAGGCTGACACTTGAGAACTTATTGCTCGCATCGGTTGTCGCTTCTTCGAGTTATATGGCCAGCCCGTTGTAATTTCAGCATATTGATTCTTTGGGCTATGTTAGTTATGTTGGCTAAGGACTGTGCTTCGTGGCATTTCTTGGGGGAGTAATAATGTAATGATTGATGAAAAATGATTAAATTTATATAAAAAGGCTATTGAATGATTGCTTTATAATAGTTTTCACTGAGCGGCTAGGGTTATGTCGCCGAGTTGAATTATTTTAATTTTTCACTATCTCTTTAATTATGCATCTCAATAACATGCTATCAGGAGCAAAGTTTATCTTTAACTTTTGTTTTTCAGTATTAATATGCCATGCCTAATAACAACGCTCATAAATCACTCTTTATTTTTCTACATGTTTTGTCACAAAATACTTCATTGTGTTTTTATATAAGAAAAATGCGTATGGTATCGCGGAATTTTTTCAGATGGAGTAAAAATCTATATTTTTGTAAAATATTGTATTTAGGTATCAGTAGCCTTTACGCCAGCGCATGCGAATAAGGAAGATCTGAAGCGGTTTTTCTTTCGACTTGCATAACAAAAATCAATATTTAAAGCTAGCTAAGAGTTGTAACCTAATAACAGATAGCCTATACAATTTCTCATTCTCATGAATCTTGCTACCATGTACAAAAAGATTTTTTTTAATCAGACTGAACTACCTGTAACCAGAGGTTAGCGTGTTAAAGCAACCAAAAAAAAAAGAACATTTATCTTTATTACAATATAATATAAGTAATTAATAAGTATAGATATAAATATGTAGCTTTAAATAGCAGAGTGAACAAGATTTTAGAATGGAACAGCAAACAAAGAAAATTACGCTATAACCGTGTCGGCAGTACTAAACATCGCGTTATTTTCTCTGTGTTCTACTGTAGGTGAATTCCGTGCTTGTGTGCGTGTACTGCGAACATTCGCACACTCTTTTGATTAGTACTTAGTGAGGTCAGTAGTTGTTGTGTGGTGTGACGCACCTGCGGCAGATGTAGAGGAGCAGCGCCAGCACGAGCAGCGCCAACAGCGCCAGCGCTGCGCCCAGCGCACCCAGCGCCGCACCGCGCGTCCCGCCGCCGCCCCGCGCGCCTCCCAGCGCGCCCCAGCCTCGCCCCACCACACGCACGGACACCGGCACAGACGTCTGCACAGGAATCAAGAATAATAAGGTACGTGAGGGTAATTTGATCACCATAAGCTTTGCCGCTCTATACTTAAAGCCAAAACTGGGAGCAGGATAGAGATAAAAACACAAAATTGTATAATATTAGCCTTATATTAAGAAAAAATATTAAACAAGCTTTGATAATAATTAAGAACATTTCGATAAATCAACTTAAAAAAGCTAACGACTATATTTATAATTACAATACTGTCAACTATCAATATGGAGTCAATAAATCAGCGTCGTTTTGACCTTTTAGTATCTGATTAACTGATAAAGTCCTATCGTACCACAGAGCCATCTATGCAAACAAGGCTGTAGTTTTTGAGATATGAAAGTGTCTATATTACCTTCACGTGCGCTAGTCATTTATTTCAGGCTTTTTCCACCCATTTCAAATTTACGATGAAAATATTAATAAATATTATGAACAAAAATTACTATAATTATTACAATTCAATAATCGAAAGAAAATTTAACGAAAATGATAAGTTAATGTTGAAGTTAAAACTTCTCCAGGCCTCTACCCGAGCGGAACACCATTATCTACGTTTTTAACAATATACGTCAGGCGATGTAAAACGAAATAACGCTCACATATGGCTAAGCCTCTGATTGAAGAACTCAAAAGTATCATGACGTCAGCATAGCTGAGATTATTCAGAGAATTCATTCTTTACAGCCTATGAAAAGATCACGATGAGCATGAGCTGTTGATAATATGATGACTGATAGCAAGTAAAGCGCAAGCAACGCCTACGGCTTTTCCCTACGGACTCCGCACTAATAAAAGTTTGAACATGGTAGAGGCATGCTGCAGCTATATTATAATAGTAGCACGAATGAGTAATTTATTTTATATCACGGAATGAAAACGCAGAGCTAAGCTAATACGCAGCTGCACTGCTTTTTTACGCTGGCAGAGCGAGGTCCTGCTCTGCTCGAGCCGACAGATTTGTGTTAAAACCTTAATACATCTGCAGCGTAGCTGAATTTGATCTTAATCCTCACTATTACAGTGGATTCCCTTATGCTGCTACTAACGGCACCACAACATGGCGGCACTACAACTTTAAGGTGTCAAAAATATGACGCTTAGACTTATTATTTCATATTTAAATAACAAAACTCAAATATAACTCAAAAAGATTTTCCGGATCAGTGGTATCAATGGGCGTTCCTCAGGGCTCGATTCTTGGCCCATTCCTATTCTTAGTCTATATTAACTTACCTTACCTCGTAAGGGACAATCACGATATAGTATTATTTGCTGATGTTTAACTCTTTAATTTTTAAACTCAAACGACAGTCATTTAATTTTGATAATATAATCGAAATTAGTACATTGTATTAACCCTAATAATTTGCTCTTAAACGGCAATAAGACAAAATGTTTACAATACCTAATGTTAAGCATTGAAATACCAATGTATTTTTAAATGGGGAAGAGTTGAGTCTTGTGGACCACTGTTTTTCTTGTTATTACTATTAACGCGAATACCATACATCTAAATTAGCAGGCAGACTTAGTTTTTAGTTAGGTTGTGAACTCAAGACTTCTCTGGGTTCGCTTCAAAATGGACTGACGAAGTTATTCCTTTTGGCTGTTTATGCGCCGGTAGCTTCGTCGTCCAGGGCTGAGCTGGAGGAGTTTTGGGAGAATGTAAGAGAAGTTCTAGATTTGGTTAAGGGAAACGAAAGAACTGTTGTATGTGGTGATTTGAATGGATGGGTAGGTATCGCTCGACCAGGATACGAGTCGGTGCTTGGAAAGTTTGGCGATAAAAGGGTTAATGATGCTGGCAAGCTTATACTGGCTGTATGCAAGGAAAAGGGTCTTCTTGTGACAAACACTATGTTTAATCACAGGAAAATCCATATGTACACTAGAGAAAGAAAGAATGAGAGAAGTATGATTGATTTGTTCCTGGTGGATGACCGACTGCGAAAACAGGTGATGGATACACGAGTGTTCAGGGGTGCTGACCTGGGAACGGATCATTATCTAGTAATTACTAGATTTAGGGGTTTGTTCGCGGGTTGGCGCTACCGGACGGCAGTAACAGAACCACAGTCGGTCTGTCGCATCCGAAGCTGGAAGCTTCAGGAAGCGGATACTAGGAACAAATATCACACGAGGGTAGCCGAAAAGCTTGACACCATCGATGGCAGGAAAGAATGTGTGGAGAGAACATGGCAGAACCTTAGGGATGGAATGGTAAGTGCAGCGGAAGAAGTATGTGGTACGACAAAAAGAGGTAGTAGTAAAAGAAGAGATGCATGGTGGAATGAGGAAGTGAGAGAAGCTGTAAAAAAGAAGAAAAAAGCATGGTTAGACTACTTGGCCTCTAGTAACGATGAGCATATGAGACAGAAGATGAAAGAAAGATATAAGCTGCAGAAAGTTCATGCGAAAACATTGATTGAGGAAGTACGTGAAAGGTGTAGAATAGAAGCGGACGAGAGGTTGTCGCACAACTTTAGGGAAAACTCCAAACTCTTCTGGAAAGAGGTTGGAAGGTCCCGGAGTGGTGCGACAGCCTTAAGAATGAACAAAGTGCTTTCGATAACCAATGACGTCCTCTCAGAAAAATCGGACGTCATGCAGCGATGGAGTGAATTTTATAGAGAAATGTATGCGTGTCATGATCTTAGTGAAGGATCCGGGGGTGACGCCGTGACTGGCACGCCAGACACGGACCTCGATGACACTGAGGTCATCAGCATGAAAGAGATTGAACGTGCGATTCGAAGTTTGAAATGTGGTAAGGCTGCGGGACTAGACAGAGTTACTGCTGAAATGGTCAAGTACGGTGGGCCTCGCGTCTGGGACAGCTTCCATCTGCTGTGCAATTTGTGCTGGCGGACGGGAGATGTCCCGGATGATTGGCGATCCGCGGTCATTGTGCCTTTATATAAAGGTAAAGGTTCACATTTTGACTGCGGGTGCTATCGGGCGATCAGCTTGACCAGTTTAGCAAGTAAAGTTTACTCGAAGGTTTTGACACGTAGGATGCAAGAGAAATCGGAAAGATTCTTATGGGAGGCACAATGCGGATTTAGACCTGGAAGAGGATGCAAGGATCAAATGTTTTCTCTCCGAATGGTCACGGAGAAGCTTCTGAGTGTTAACCAGAGGATTTTCTGTGCTTTTGTGGATCTGGGGAAAGCATTTGATAAGGTTATAAGGAAGAAAATGTGGGAACTGTTGCCGGGATATGGTGTGGATGGTCGATTGTTAAGGGCTGTGCAGTCACTTTACTATGACTGTAAAGCCTGTGTGCGGGTAGGGAATGACCTGTCACCCATGTTTAGCGTCCAATAGGGCGTAAAACAGGGTTGTGTCATGTCTTCCTGGCTGTTCATACTGTATCTCGACAGCTGTTTACAGAAGCTGAAAAATAGCTGTTTGGGTGTGAAATTGGGTGACATAAAAGTTAATTGTCTGCTGTATGCTGATGATGCAGTGCTTATTGCACCATCAGAAGCAGAACTGCAGGCATTAGTCACGTGTATGAAAGAGGAATGTGAAATTAAAGGTATTCCCCTTCCCTCCGTTTGAATGCTAATAAAACTAAGGTTCTGGTATTTGAAAAGGACGAAGAGAGAACGAAATGTGAAATATGGGTAAATCAGGAATGTCTAGAATAGGTAAATGAAATTGTATACTTGGGGAGTGCTTTCAGCCGGGATGGAAGATGTGATTTAGATGTGGATAGGCGTGTCGCTGCCGGAAACAAAGTCAATGGTGCCCTGAATGCATTAGTAAAAAGGCAAGGCGTGGTGAAGAGTGCACGCCTTGCAATACATAACGCAGTGTTGGTACCGACTTTGTTATATGGCTGTGAAACCTGGGTATGCCAGAAGAAGCATAAAAGCAAGTTGAATGCAGTGGAGATGCGATCTCTTCTGTGTGACGTTACCTTAGCCGACCGAAAGCGAAACGAAGAGATTCGCAATATGGCAGGATTGAAAGATGACCTTATCACAAATATTAATAGGGGCGTACTCCAATGGTTTGGGCACGTTGAACGAATGAGTGAAGACCGAATGGTGAAGAAAATATATAGAGCGAAAGTAAATATTAATAGGTGTCGAGGTAGACCGAGACTAACTTTCGAAGACCATGTGAGCAAATTGCTCGAAGAGGGGAGGGTCAAGAGTACTCGGATACCTAGACGTGCATGTATGAAGAAGTTAATGAACCTGAAGGAAGCGAAAGAGGTATGTAAGGATCGTGACACTTGGCGATCTGTTCTCTCTGGCTACCCCGTTAGGGATTGTGCGTGAAGATAAGTAAGACTTAGTTCTGCAGCATATGCTGTAAGAAAGATTAGAAGTCTCACCATTGTTGTTTTTTTTTTTTGGTGGGTAGGCGCAAAGTGTTTTGTCATATTTAAAATCGTTCCTGATTTTTAAAGTTTAAAAATAGTAAATAAAGAACAATCAAGTATATAAATGTACCTATAATTACATAAATCCACCAGCATTGATTACTAATAATTTGTTTTCCACTGTGCACAACTTAAAACTTATTTTGCCACTTCACTGTCACCTGACATTGACCTTTAAATAACCTTTAATTTACATCATGGATTTGCTTAAGAAGTCAATTGAAGAGCTAACGCTGAACTTCACTTCACGTATGGATGAGTTCCAGAGGGAGGTCAGAACATCCATCCCTGCAACAAGCCCATCTTCCGACATTAATGCACAATTTAATACCTTTAGGGCATTTGTCCTGTCAGCACTTGAGAACCTGCAACTTCAACTCCAGCTTCTCTGTAGGAAGCAAGAGGAAATGGAAGTAAGGACCAGGAGGAAGATTTTGCTTGTCCATGGAGTGCCAGAAGCCCGAGATGGGAATCCAGTGCATTGCACGAGTAAGCTATTATCGGAGCGACTGAACATCCCAGAAATAACTGAGGGATCTATCACCAGATGCCATCGCTTAGGGCGCCCCCCGCGGAGACAAGCCT